TAATAGACCAAAATATAAAACATAAAGATAGCACTCAGCCACAGAATAAACAAAAACTGATAGCAAAAGCTATACCATAGTCAAAGGGTCCAGTCTAGTGGTCAAACGCCGATAGTTCAATAACAAAGTCCAGGGATCAATAGTCTATACCGTAGTCAAAAGCCAGTCCAGAGGTTCAAGGTTCCATGAGTACAGGAGACAGGTCAGGATACGGAAAAATCCAATAGACCTGGGAGAAAAACCAGCAGCATCCACCACCAAAATACAACAGATGCTTTTCTCCCAAAGATCAGTCTCAAGGTTAGCTCCTTAAATCCAGTAACACCCAGCTGCAACCCACCTCCTGCACACCTCCACCCCTAATTTCTTTCACCCATGAACTCCCACTTACAGATTACCAAACCCTCTAATACTCACATTAACCCTTCTATCACCAACCACCATCAACTGCATCCTCAGAAGTTAAGATCATCGGAGGAGGCCCTGCTCTCAGTTCCACACCCCTCGCAGGCGCAACTGGTGGTGACAAGAGACAGGGTCTTCTCAGTGGTGGCCTGTGGAACTCTCTCCCCAAGGGAGTTCCATAAGCCACCTGTGGAACTCCCTTCCCAAGGAAATCAGGTCAGCCCCCTCTCTCCCGACCTTCAAGGGGAAATAACTTAAGACGTGGCTGTGCTGAAGAGGCATGCACTCTGCATGTTCTCAGAAGTCCCCTTCTTGCTTGGTAGGGTGGCATGGAGGGAAATAAAGCTATTCTCTCTGAAGAATAGCTTTATTTGCTGGCAAAGGAAAAGATGACAGACATTTTAGAAGCTGCACAGCCATGATCACTGAAGACGCAGTTCTCTGTTCCAATTGTACATTAGAGGCCGGAGGAAGGAAGAAATAATAAAATATTAAACCATAAACCTATACTGTGCGATTATAAAAGAAATTATCCAGATAAATAATAGTATACAATCCATTATCCAAAATACTTTGGACTGTAGAGGGTGATGGATAACAAGTCTATCTGCATCCTTCTTTTCTTTGATGTCTGCTTTGGATTCCAGCTCAAACACAGCAGCAACCCAATGGGACTCTTGGCGATCGATGCCGAATCGGAGGAATTCTATCGCCAGCGGGGCATTAAAGTCACCGCTGCCATGGCTGAGGCGCCCCTGGTTCCATTTGAAGTGAGGAAACTGGAGATGGTGAGGGGTCCGGACGGCTATGGCTTCTTGCTGAAAGAAGAAAAATGTTGCTCTGGGAAGAGAGGTAAGTCTGAGCCAAAATGTGTGCCATGTGCCATAGCAGAAGATACTAACTAGATTCAGCTTTAATTATTTATCAAGTTGGAAATTTGCCAATGGAATAAGGCAAATGAATTAGAATCATAGAGTTGGAAGAGACCTGGTGGGCCATCCAGTCCAACCCCGTTCTGCCAAGAAGCAGGAAAATTGCATTCAAAGCACCCCCGACAGAGGGCCATCCAGCCTCTGTTTCAAAGCCTCCAAAGAAGGAGCCTCCACCACACTCTGGGGCAGAGAGTTCCACTGCTGAACAGCTCTCACAGTCAGGAAGTTCTTCCTCATGTTCAGGAAGAATCTACTTTTTTGTAGCTTGAAGCCATTGCTCCACATCCTAGTCTCCAGGGAAGCAGAAAACAACTTTGCTCCCTCCTCCCTGTGGCTTCCTCTCATATATTTATACATGGCTATCATATCTCCTCTCAGCCTTCTCTTCTTCAGGCTAAACATTCCCAGCTCTTAAGCCGCTCCTCATAGGGCTTGTTCTCCAGACCCTTGATCATTTTAGTCGCCCTCCTCTGGACACATTCCATCCTGTCAACATCTCCCTTCAATTGTGGTGCCCAGAATTGGATACAGCATTCTAGATGTGGCTAACCAAGGCAGAATAGAGCAGTAGCATGACTTCCCTGGATCTAGACACTAGACTCCTATTGATGCACACCAAAATCCCATTGGCTTTTTTTGCTGCCACATCACATTGTTGGCTCATGTTTAACTTGTTGTCCATGAGGACTCCAAGATCTTTTTCACACGTACTGCTCTCGAGCCAGGCCTCGTCCCCCATTCTGTCTCTTTGCCTTTCGTTTTTTCTGCCAAAGTGGAGTTTCTTGCATTTGTCCCTGCTGAACTTCATTTTGTTAGTTTTGGTCAATCATCTCTCTAATCTGTCGAGATCCCTTTGAATTCTGCTCCTGTCCTCTGGAGTCTTGACTATCCCTCCCAATTTGGTGTCATCTGCAAACTTGACGATCATGCCTTCTAACCCTTCATCTAAGTCATTAATAAAAATGTTGAACAGGACCGGGCCCGTAGATGCTAACTACATTCAGATTTAATTATTTATTAAGTTGGAAATTTGCAAATGGAATAGAGCAAATGAATTATTTTGATTGGTGTGTGTATATGCCTTCAAGTCACCCGTTGAGGTGTAGAGAACCCATGAATTTGATGGTAAGGATCAGAGTTGGTAGGCAGTTATGTTCCAGAATTGGCCCTAAGGTGGTTCAACATATTCTTCCTTCACTGTTACAAAAAGAAAAAAAGGATGATGGTAGTTGTGGTCCTAGCAGCATCCAAAAGTTCCCTTCCCTTGTCCAACAAGTCTAGGAGCAATGTAAATTTGTATATAAAGCATCCAAGACAGGCTCCAAAATGCTGTCTCTACAGGGCAGTTTTTGAGAGAGGTGGATGCTGGGCTTCCGGCCGAGAAGGCAGGGATGAGGGACGGCGACCGACTCCTGGCCATAAATGGGGAGAACGCTGAGGATCTGGACCACCAGGAGATGGTGCTGAGGATCCGGGCCGACAGCAGTCGGGTGACCCTCCTGGTCATTGATGCGGAAGGGAGCAAGTTCTACGATTTGGTATGAAATAGTAATAATAATAATAATAATAATAATAATAATAATAATAATAATAATAGACGCTGGCACAAGCCAGTAATGGTTGTTCCAGTGGTGATTGGCACACTGGGTGCAGTGCCTAAAGACCTTGGCCTGCACTTAAACATAGTCGGTGCTGACAAGATTACCAGCTGCAGAAGACCACCTTACTGGGATCTGCACGCATTATTCACCGATACATCACACAGTCCTAGACACTTGGGAAGCGTCTGACGTGTGATCCAGTACAACAGCCAGTAGAGTGATCTTGTCTGCTGTGGCCTCATCTTGTTATGTTTCAAATAATAATAATAATAATAATAATAATAATAATAATAATAATAATAATAATAAATCATCTCCTCAAAGGGACTCAGGACAGTTTCCAACATGTAAGGCAAACATGAAAAGAAACCATACAGACCCAATGCCACAACCTCTTAATACAGTTCCTCATGTTGTGGTGACCCCCCAACCATAACATTATTTTTGTTGCTATTTCAAAACTGTAATTTAGCTACTATTATGAATCATCATGTAAATATCTGATATGGGGGATGTATTTTCATTCACTGGACCAAATTTGGCACAAAAACCCGATACCCCCAAATTTGAATAATGGTGGGGTTTTGGGGTGATTATTCATTTATTGATTATTTTGAGCATTTATATCCCATCCTTCTCAACCCTCAAGGGGTGACTCAGGTTGGCTTACAACTGTCAATCATTAGATGCCAACAAACAACAACAACAACAATAATACTTTACTTATATACCGCTCCATCTCCCCGAGGGGACTCAGAGCGGTTCCCAGGTAACATCACAAAACATACAAAGTAAAAACAACATAACCATAAGATTAACAAAACAAAATATAAGCATAAAAATTGCCGCCATAACACACATATATTAAAAGTAATCCTGCCTGTTCAAGGCAATTTAAACATTTAAAAGGCCGGGCCAAGATTTGTGCAAGCCCAGGAATTAAGTGCAATGCTATGGCAGGCAACAATAATATTAGGTATGGGTCTGTGGCTGTTCAACAAACAATCACAATATAAACAATAAACATAAAACAACAAGATTTTGACATTTGGGAGTTGTAGTTGCTGGGATTTATAGTTCACCTACAATCAAAGAGCATTCAGAAATCCACCAATGATGAAATTGAACCAAACTTGGCACACAGAACTCCCATGACCAACAAAAAATTCTGGAAGGGTTTGGCGGGCATTGACCTTGAGTTTTGGAGTTGTAGTTCACCTACATCCAGAGAGCACTATGGACTCAAACAATGATGGATCTGGACCAAACTTGGCATGAATACTCAATATGCCCAAATATGAACACTGGTGGAGTTTGGGGAAAATAGACTTTGACATTTGGGAGTTGTAGTTGCTGGGATTTATAGTTCTCCTACAACCAAAGAGCATTCTGAACCCCACCAATGAAAGAATTGGGCCAAACATCCCACACACAATCCCCATGACCAACAGAAAATACTGTGGTTTCTGATGGTTTTTGGCCCCCCCCCCCCCCCCCGGGGCCCCAACCCCAAGGGTCCCAACCCCAGGTTGATAAACGCTGATACAGACAATTACATCAAAATAACATATTACTTAAGTGAAAGTTATTTTTGGGGTATATTTATGATGTTTTTAGTTGTTATTTTGTCTATTAAGTTTATTAGGTTGTGTTAAATTCACAGCCTAATAAATTTAACAGACAAAATAATAAGTAAAAACATAAAAATACATCATAAAAATTCTTTTTGGTCTTCTAGGTTGGAGTGTCACCTCTCCTTTTCTACAATGAAACAGACCCTCCATCAGCACAGCTCCCGGATCCCACCATCTCTCTTCCCAGCATGCTTCAGGAAAACAACATCCCTGCCATGACAGCCTGCCTCCGCCACCCACGGACAGCTTCCCATGGCAATGAATGGCCACCCCTTCAACCTGGTGAAGATCCGTGGTCTTCCACGCAAGAGGTAAACTCTGTTGACAGCTTGGGTAGCTACAGCATAGCTCTCAACCGTCCTGATTTTGCAAGGATAGTCAAGATTAAGCCTCTGCTATCAACCTTTTGCAGATGTTTGTAAAATGTCCTGCTTTCCTCCTTTGTCCTTGGCTTACTTCCATTCCTGCAAGCTCGAGTAGCTTGCTTTCTTACCTTTATGAAGAAAGGGGCAAGAAGGAAGCCAAACCTTGCCCTTCCCAGTTGGCTCAGGCAAAAGATAACTTCTGCAGCTTCTCTTAGCTTATCTTATTGATAATTTTAGCCACCTTGAGCACGTTCTTAATGTCACTTGCCCACACATGTCTCTGTTTTCATCTGAAATGTTGGAAAACATGGAATGGCTTTTCCTATTACCTTCCACATCATAATATTCAGCTTCTTTCACCTTCAAGTTAGAAACCCCAATGGTGCAATGGGTTAAACCCTTGTACCAGCAGGACTACTGACAGAAAGGTTAGTGGTTTGAATCTGGGGAGCAGGGTGAGCTCCTGTCTGTCAGCTCCAGCTTCCCATGCAGGGGCATGAGGGAAGCCTGCCACAGGATGGTAAAACATTTGGGCATCTCCTAGGCAACCTCCCTGCAGATGGCCAATTCTCTCACACCAGAAGTTTGTTTGTTTGTTTTTGTCGTGTCAGGAGCGACTTGAGAAACTGCAAGTCGCTTCTGGTGTGAGAGAATTGGTCTTCTGCAAGGACATTGCCCAGGGGACACCCGGATGATTTTTGATGTTTTTATCATCCTTGTGGGAGGCTTCTCTCATGTCCCCGCATGAGGAGCTGGAGTTGAGAGAGGGAGCTCAGTGGTGCAATGGGTTAAACACTTGTACCAGCAGGACTACTGACAGAAAGGCCAGTGGTTTGAATCTGGGGAGCAGGGTGAGCTTCTGTCTGTCAGCTCCAGCTTCCCATGCAGGGACATGAGAGAAGCCTCCCACAGGATGGTAAAACATCTGGGCATCCCCTGGGCAACGTCCTTGCAGACAGACAAGTAGCTCTTCACAAGTAGTTTTTTTTTTTTGTCGTGTCAGGAGCGACTTGAGAAACTGCAAGTCGCTTCTGGTGTGAGAGAATTGGCCATCTGCAAGGACGTTGCCCAGGAGACGCCCGGGATGATTTTTATCATCCTTGTGGGAGGCTTCTCTCATGTCCCCGCATGAGGAGCTGGAGCTGATAGAGGGAGCTCATCGCCTCTCCCAGGATTCGAACCACTGGCCTTTCTGTCAGTAGTCCGGTCTTCAGTCCTGCCGGCACAGGGGTTTAATTCACTGCACCACCAGAGGCTCCCACATCACACCTTGCAGTTTTTCAAGTCGCTCCTGACACACACACAAATAAAACCTCGAGGTTCAAGATCTTCTTTGGGTCTGATCTTTGTGACTGTTAGCAAGGCTAGATTAAGACAGTTGGTGGTGTTGGGATTCAAAAGAGCATGAGAACGAGCCATTCTACCAAGGAGGGCATAGCGATGAAGTAAACATGCAATGCCTACCTTGCAAGATGTAAGAGATTACAGCAAAAGTTGTAAAAATCCGCAAGGTTCAAATGGTGTTTAGCCTTGCATCTTGGTTGGGGCTAAGAAGCTGCATCCCATGTGTTTTGGACTCACATGACACACGAAAGATGAGTATGCATTAGGCGAGTCACTACCTGAAATGTCACCTTCATACTGTAAACAACACAAAGTGCTATCACCAAAAAAGCCCTCGCTTTTGTAGCTTCTGCACCTGTAACCCTGCTCTTCTGCATTTCTTTGTGTTATCTTTAAAAAGCCATGACTTGAGCTATATTCTCTTTTCTAAAATTCCTATTCAGGGCCATGATGGACTGACCCAGGCATTTTAGAAGCTGCCCAGCCCTGATCATTGAAGATGCAGTTCTCTGTTCCAGTTGTACGAGCATTGGAGGCCAGAGAGAATCCTTTGTGTTTTTGCACAAATGCTCATGTTGCAATCTGACCTCTGACTACCCAGTCTGATTTTTTGTTTTGTGTCAACTGCTGCCTCATGGATCTCCGATAATATTTCCTACAGACAGATGAGGAATCTACAAGATGCCTCCAAAATGAACAAGAGACAATCTTTTTTACCTTGGGGCATTGGTATTGCACTCCAAGGCTGGGAACCACCTCTGTACTTAACACACACTCCAGTCCAAGTTAAAATAGCAAAGCAGTTTATTGAAGAATATATATATGAAAAGCAATTCAGCAAAAAGTTTAAAAAACTCAAAGTATCAAGAATAATCCACAGAATTCATAGTACAGCAATAGCATCAAAAACCAGGAATACAAAAGCAAAATAAACCCAAAACATGAGGTTCAGGAACAGTCCTCAAAACTTGGACTCATGAGACACAAACAAAAGGAAACATGGAACATGAAACTAGAAATCCCTTGACTTGACAATAGTTCTATTCTCAAACACCAACATTGTCTGGACTGACGGACCCATCTGTTGAGCTAGCTAATAAAGAGAGAAAATCATGCCTTCTCCCCTGGGAAACTAATAAGGACTTCTTGGGTAATAAGCGTTTTGACCTTCATACACGCTCCTGAGAAGCTGTATGTTGACGGAATGTAAATCTCCTATCTAACTGCTCATTAGTCTCTCAGTTTCATCCTCTGAACTTTGATCTGTGCCTGACATTGCTTCCCTAGTGAACTGCCTTTCAGGAATATGGCCTTCAGACACAGACCGCTCATTTTCAGGACTTAAAATCTCTTGCTGACTCTCCTGATCACTTGCAGACCCAGAATCCCCAGGGTCATCAGAATGACTAACAGGCCCAGAATCCCCAGAAAGATCAGGTGCAGGCTGAAGTATAATAACTATTGGTTCTAGAACCCAAAAGGGAAGCAAGTGTGATCTTCTTGCTCCCAGGCAGCTTTGCCATCAATGTAAAGGGGATCAGTTAGAGAGAAAATTATCTCTGTTAATTGAAATATTACCATTAGAAGAGACAAATAGCAAGGCTGTGTGGATCTGAGATACTTCCAGTGCAGTCCAATATGCCAAAAGTGCAGTCTTTGATTCTGAATAATGGCACAAATAGAAATAGTTATTGGGTTGTTATTAAGGCCTGCAATGACTAACTATCTGCTTGCTGGACTATAATTAAAAGTTGCTAATAAGAACTGAAAAGTAAACTGTGATAAGAACTGGACAGTGATAAGATCAATGTTTACAATGTTAAGAAGGAAGTCAACACAAGCCTTGTGTTTGTCAACACCAATCAAGAAGAGTCAACATCTGACTAGGAAACTGAGATGAAGCCAGGATGGGAGACATCTATCATTAATTTACAACTTTGGGACTACATCAGCAGAATATTCCTATAAAAGACTCAATATTGTGACAGACCTGAGGAGTCTGGTTCACCCACTATGCTCTGCTCCATGGGAAGGAGAGAGATAGCGTACGTATGGAGAGTGGCAAATTTGCACGGGAGCAGTCACTTTGAGGCAAGCATCCTCAAATAGTTATATTTATATGATGCCTTTCCTCCAATAGGCTTAAGTCTTTCCTTTACCCCCACAATAGCCTTGTGAGGTAGGTCAGGCTAGAGAGAATAGCAGCTGTATGGATGTTGAGTGAATTTCATGGTTCAGTAGAACACACATCTCGCAAGTCCCCAACCAATAGTTCCTATACTACATTGATGAGTGATAGTCAGGATAGCAATGGTCAGGACAAGAACTGAAATGCACTCTGCACACCCTCAGAGACACAATAGTTACTCTTAACTCCTCAAGACATTTGAAATCTAGTCTTGGCTTCAGGTGCAACACTAAGAGTTAAAAGCATGTCAGAACAATCCGTCACATCTCCAAAGGTCTGAGTCCAAACTCCTTGAGCCGCTCCTTGTACTCCATGTGGATGCCAGTGGCCTCCTTCTCCCAGCTGAGCTTGACCGCCTGCATTTTGGACATCACCTGGTCCAAGCTGGCCTGAGAACAGAGGAAGCAAAAGCTAGTATGAAAGGTTTCTATATGACCACATCTCACCACCAAAAGGTTGGAACACCAAGGAGCCCAGACAGGTTAGAGAGCAATTCATGAATGTCTTTGCACATCCTGGAGCAATGTTGGGAATAACTGCTTCTTCCTGAGCTTTTGACAATGAAAGAACTAAACCAACCCTGTTGCCTTTCCCTAAGACAACGTGGCTCCTGTGCTTTGCTATCCATCCAACTCACATGCAGGATTTTTTCATATTCAATCTCCATCTGATCGATCTTGCGTTGCATCTCCGCAATGGCGGTGTCCTTCTCTTCCACCAACATAGCATTGTCCTGCTGGCTTTGTTGCAGCTCTTCTTGACAAGCAACTGTCAAGCAAAAAGGAGAAAAAAATATGGAATAATAGAAAATATGGGAAAGGAGCCACCGGTGGCACAGTGGGTTAAAGCACTGAGCTGCTGAACTTGCTGACCAAAAGGTCACAGGTTCGAATCCGGGGAGCGGTGTGAGTTCCCGCTGTTAGCCCCAGCTTCTGCCAACAATGCAAGTGTGAGTAGATCAATAGGTACCACTCCGGCGGGAAGGTAACGGCGCTCCATGCAGTCATGCCAGCCACATGACCTTGGAGATGTCTACGGACAATGCTGGCTCTTTGGCTTAGAAATGGAGATGTGCACCAACCCCCAGAGTGGAACACAACTGGACTTCATGTCAGGGGAAAACCATTATCATTACCTATGGGAAAGGAAAGCTGAGCAGATGATAATAAAGGAGGTAGCAGGAAACCGCAGAAGGCAGCAAGACTTAGGATGATGTGTTGGAGATATGGCTATGGAAGTACTCCTGGGGTAAGGAGCAGGCAGAATTTTTAGCCATTTAATAATAATAATAATAATAATAATAATAATAATAATAATAAGCTGCTGCTGCAAGAAGATCACACAGACAGAGTACAAGCACAACACCGTTGCTCAGATGATTCATTGGAACTTGTGCCACAAATACCATCTGCCTGCGACAAAGAACTGGTGGGATCACAAGCTGGAAAAAGTTACAGAGAATGAACACGCCAAGATACTCTGGTACTTCCAAATTCAGACTGACAGGGTTTTGGAGCACAATACTCCTGACCTCACAATCGTGTTAAAAAACAAAGTATGGATTGTCGATGTCGCAATCCCATAGGATTGAAGAGAAACAACTGGAAAAGCTGACGCGATATGAGGATTTAAAAATCGAACTGCAAAGACTCTGGCACAAGCCAGTCAAGGGGGTCCCAGTGGTGATTGGCACACTGGGTGCAGTGCCTAAAGACCTTGGCCTGCACTTAAACACAATCGTCGCTGACAAAATGACCATCTGCCAGCTGCAAAAGGCCAACTTACTGGGATCTGCATGCATTATTCGCCGATACATCACACAGTCCTAGACGCTTGGTGGGCAGTGTCCTTTGGTTTTGGAGTTGTAGTTCACCTACATCCAGAGATCACTTTGGACTCAAACAATGGATCTGGACCAAACTCTACACAAATACTCAATATGCCAAATGTGAGCACTGGTGGAGTTTGGGGAAAATAGAATCTTGACATTTGGAGTTGTAGTTGATGGGATTTATAGTTCACCTACAATCACAGAGCATTCTGAAACACCCCAACGATAGAATTGGGCCAAACCTCCCACACAGAACCCCCATGTGGGCCACAGCAATGCGTGGCAGGGGACGGCTAGTAATAATGATGATGATGATGATGATGATGAATTTATTACCCACCTCTCCCTGTGACTTTTATCTACTCAAAAGGGTACATTTTCAGTTTTCCGGTGACTAAATGGGACATTTTGTGGAACATTGGAGGAGGAAAAACAACCCTCAGATTAATTATTTTCTCGGAATGGACGTTTTGAAGTTTTATTTGCTCTAAATGCCAGGAAGTGTACATATGACGTTTTGCGTACAAGAAAACAACAATTCCTGGATGTGCTGTAGACAAACACAACAATGAAATGCCAGGTGCCTCTCTGTCCCTCCTGGACGCAGAGGAGCATTTGGTTTGTGTGTGCAATGATAAGACAATGTTGAAAAGATAAGTATTTTAAACACGAAATGAAGGCTAATGTTCAAATATGCTGCTAGCCTAGATTGTGACTCTATGATATATATATTTCTCTCTAAAGAATACATTTTCTTTTTGTGGCAACATTTTTGGCTTCTATTATCATTTTTCACCCAAACAAAAATCCCCTCCCCCCAAAAAACCACATTTGCTTAGGATATGGTTCCACTTTAATATAGTGTATATTTTGCTTACATACAGCTAAGGCTTTTGGATTTTTAAGTTTGTTAAATAGGCCAGATAGTACAATTTTTATATGCTTAATATGCGTCGGCAGTAGTGCAGTGGGTTAAACCGCTGAGCTGCTGAACTTGCTGATCAAAAGGTTGCAGGTTCGAATCCGGGTAGTGAGATGAGCTCCTGCTGTTAGCCCCAGCTCCTGCCAACCTAGCAGTTTGAAAACATGCAAATTTGAGTTGGTCAATAGGTACCGCTCTGGTGGGAAGGTAACAATGCTCCATGTAGTCATGCTGGCCACATGACCTTGAAGGTGTCTATGGACAACGCCAGCTCTTCAGCTTAAAAATGGAGATGAGCACCACCCCCCAGAGTCGGATTCCACCAGACTTAATGTCAAGGGGAAACCTTCACCCTTACTATATGATTGATTAGGTGATGGATAAAGCAAGAATGGAAATTCAAGCTGACTATGCATGTGTTTAGGGTCTTTTCAGCATTTCTGTTTTGACTCACTTGGGAAAGAAGAAGGATTATTTTCATCACTTCAACATAAAAATATATATTTTTGTTTCTCTAGTTGGGAAGAAGCAGTGTCTTCCTATCCAGCAAACAGTTTTATATTTTCATTTCCACAAGAGGGAGCAATTATTCTGGTGGAATTACTCAAATTGTATTCTTTAAGAAGCAAGGTAAATTACTGGTCTAAATTATGTAAATTGTTCTTCTGAATCTACAGATTTCACGTCCCTTCACCAAAAAAGTAAGGAAAATTAAAAAGTTGAGTGAAGGGAAGGAAGGGTTGAGCTATTAACTTAGTGCCTCTTAGTCATAGAATCACAGAATCCTAGAGTTGGAAGAGACCTCGTGGGCCATCCAGTCCAACCCCATTCTGCCAAGAAGCAGGAATATTGCATTCAAAACACCCCTGACAGATGGCCATCCAGTTTTTGTTTAAAAGCTTCCAAAGAAGGAGCCTCCACCACACTCCGGGGCAGAGAGTTCCAATGCTAAACGGCTCTCACAGTCAGGAAGTTCTTCCTCATGTTCAGATGGAATCTCCTTTCTTGTAGTTTGAAGCCGTTGCTCCATTGCGTCCTAGTCTCCAGGGGGGCAGAAAACAAGCTTGCTCCCTCCTCCCTGTGGCTTCCTCTCACATATTTATACATGGCTATCATATCTCCTCTCAGCCTTCTCTTCTTCAGGCTAAACATGCCCAGCTCCTTAAGCCGCTCCTCATAGGGTTTGTTCTCCAGACCCTTGATCATTTTAGTCGCCCTCCTCTGGACACATTCCAGCTTGTCAATATCTCTCTTGAATTGTGGTGCCCAGAATTGGACACAATATTCCAGGTCTTCAGATGGAAGACCAGCAATGGGTAAATCTTGGGGGCATCTACATTGTAGAATTAATGCAGTTTGACACCACTTCAACTCGAGGGAGCTATAGTCTTACAAAGTCTCTAGCCTTCTCTGCTTGTCCTCAGACAAATTATACATCCCAGGATTCCATAGCATTGAGACATGGCAGTTGAAGTGGACTCAAACTGCATTAATTCCAAAATGTGGATGAACTCCTTGCTATCCAACATCAAAGTGACTATATTCGAATTGGTGCCATACCAAGCTTTTCCTGCAAGCTCTTCATCTCATCCTCTAGTCGCTGTATCCGAGAATCGGCCTGGTGCTGAAGCTGCTGGTACTTGCGGATCATCTCTGGAAACCAAATATGGAACATGGAAGGAGGAGACGAAGGGGAGAAAGAGTCATCCTCATTGACCACCAAAAGCATCTATCTGTTGTGCTTGACAATGTAACACAAGATGAATAAACTGTGGCATAATGTAAAACCATGCATAGCTCATGTTTGATCGGTCCACACAGTGTCTTGGCAGAGAAAGAAAATATGCCATGCAGATGATCAACAAAGAACAAGTATTGTCGAAGGCTTTCATGGCTGGAATCACTGGGTTGTTGTAGGTTTTTCCGGGCTATATGGCCATGTTCTAGAGGCATTCTCTCCTGATGTTTCGCCTGCATCTATGGCAAGCATCCTCAGAGGTAGAGAGGTCTGTTGGAAGTAGGAAAAATGGGTTTATACATCTGTGGAATGACCAGGGTGAGACAAAGGACTTTTGTCTGCTGGGGCTATCTCTGCTATGGCTGATTTCTCTGGTTGGAGTAGTTTGCAGGAACATGAAAGGCACTGCAAACTACTCCAACCAGAGAAATCAGCCATAGCAGAGCACCTGATGAACCAGCTTGGAAGCAGCATATTATTTGAGAACACAGAAGTGCTGGACCACTCCAACAACCACCATGTCAGACTACACAGAGAAGCCATTGAAATCCACAAGCATGTGGACAATTTCAACAGAAAGGAAGAAACCATGAAAATGAACAAAATCTGGCTACCAGTATTAAAAAAACTCAAAAATTACAACAGCAAAACAACAGAGGGGAAACAAACAGGCACATAAAATCACTCTCAACAAAAGATTCCCCCCAGGCACTTCCAAGCCATTGAATGCTAATCAAGGTGATCAGCTGAAACATTCACAGCTAGCCCCAGCAGACAAAAGTCCTTTGCCCCACCCAGCCATTCCACAGATATATAAACCCATTTTTCCTACTTCCAACAGACCTCACTACCTCTGAGGATGCTTGCCATAGATGCAGGCGAAACGTCAGGAGAAAAATTGCCTCCAGAACATGGCCATATAGCCCGGAAAAAGCTACAACAACCCAAAGAACAAGTAGTTTACTCTTTGTAATGCAGAACAACATATGTATAAACATGTGAACAGTTGCATTAACACACATAATGTCCTTTTAGAGAGATTTAAAATTGTCTTTCTTTATCCATGTGGAAAGATCTCCTTTCAGCAGCACATGAAGCAAGACCACACTCCAAACTTTCTCTCTCTCTCTGAAAGTACTTGCATAACTCAAGCCTGAAAATGTAACAGTAACCAAAATTCCCAGGCTCAGCTAGCTCCCTGGTGTGGCCCAATAAATCAGCTTCGTGCTTCTTATTTTACAGTTGACACACATACTAACTGATTTTTACATGTTCCAACAGAAACCATTCCTTGATCCAAGGAAGGTACAATAAAACTTGGGGAGAAATAAGGAAGGACGGAAAGAACGGGCAGGTATGGATTGGAATGCTGTGCTAGGAGTTGTAGTTTGGTGAGAGACCAACACTCTTGGGCAAAAGTGTGGCAAAAGAGTTGCCCTTGTTATTTGGCAAGGGGAAAAGCCTTTGCAAAATGACAACTCCTATGATTCTGCAGCATTGAGTCAAGGCAGTTAAAGTGACGGCAAACTCCCCGAACGTATCTCACCTTATGAACCACGGAGGACTTTAAGATCATTTGAGGAGGCCCTGCTCTCGGTCCCGCCTTCGTCACAAGCACGTTTGGCAGGGACGAGAGACAGTGCCATCTCAGTGGTGGCCCCTCGGCTATGGAACACCCTCCCTAGGGAGATCAGATCTGCTCCCCCCCCCCCTTGAATGTTTCGGAGGCAAGTTAAAACTATTCAGCAAGCGTTTACAAATCAGTCTATTTAGGTGAATATCAACTGCTCTGGGACTGGGTTGTTGTAGGTTTTTTTGGGCTATATGGCCATGGTCTAGAGGCATTCTCTCCTGACGTTTCACCTGCATCTATGGCAAGCATACTCAGAGGTAGTGAGGTCTGTTGAAACTAGGAAAAAGGGTTTATATATCTGTGGAATGACCAGGGACCTACATAGGGACCACCAAACGCAGCAACATTGCCCAAACACGAATCAAGGAACATGAAAGGCACTGCAGACTACTCCAACCAGAGAAATCAGCCATAGCAGAGCACCTGATGAACCAACCTGGACACAGCATATTATTTGAGAACACAGAAATGCTGGACCACTCTCACAACCACCATGTCAGACTACACAGAGAAGCCATTGAAATCACAAGCATGTGGACAATTTCAACAGAAAGAGGAAACCATGAAAATGAACAAAATCTGGCTACCAGTATTAAAAAACTCTAAAATTACAACAGCAAACAACAGAGAGGAAACAAACAAGGACATCTAATCACCTCTCAACAAAAGTTTGCTCCAGGCACTGTCAGGCCATTATATGCTAATCAAGCTGGTCAGTTGAAACATTCACACCTAGCTCCAGCAGACAAGAGTCCTTTGTCCCACCCTGGTCATTCCACAGATATATAAACCCTTTTTCCTAGTTCCAACAGACCTCACTACCTCTGAGGATGCTTGCCATAGATGCAGCGAAACGTCAGGAGAGAATGCCTCTAGACCATGGCCATATAGCCTGAAAAAACCTACAACAACCCAGTGATTCCGGCCATGAAAGCCTTCGACAATACATTGAACTGGACAATGCTTGAGAACGATGAGATGCTGATGATGTTGTTTTTACAGCTTTTGTGATGTTTTATACTGTTTAATGTTTTTTATCTATATTATGTTTTATGTAGTATACTGATTTGTTGGAAACCGCCTTGAGTCGCCGATTGGCTGAGAAAGGCGGTATACAAATACAGTAAATAAATAAATAAACTGCAATAATTGTACAGTGTAGATCAGGCATGGGCAAACCTCGGCCCTCAGCTGCTTAAGTGGCTGAGGGGGAAAAGGAAAGGGCCTGGGAATTGAAGTCCAAAACACCTAAAGGCCCCAAGTTTGCCCATGCCTGGTGTAGATGTACCCATGGAGATGCTGCCGCTATAGCGTTGTCAAGAGTCGTAGTGAAAAATAAAATTTTGGGGTTGTCAGCCATTGATGGGAGGTGGTTAACAGGAAGAAGAAGAAAGTTTCTTTGTGGAGAGAAAACATGGGATATAAATAAATATAACAACAAACACACCTTCATAAATATCCTTTTTGTCTCCTCGGGCTTCCTCCAGTTCTTTCTCCAGATCCACCAGCTTCTGTTTCAATCCTTCGCTATCAGCCATTGCTTGCCTGGCCATATCCCGCCGGAGAACTGTAGATCAGAAGAAAATAATAATAATAATAATAATAATAATAATAATAATAATAATAATAATAATGAAAATAATAATATTAAAGAACCAATGTTGATGGAAGTCAATAGTAGTCAACTGCTTAAAGTGCAAAAGACAATGAGTGAATACCATAAAAAATACAATGCAGAGCAGAAGAGAAAACTGGCAAAAGAAGGCTCTCCATGGACAGTTCCTGGGAAAAATTGAGAGCCAAATTGACAAGGAAAAAACATGGCTGTGGCTCACAAATGGAACTTTGAAAAAGGAGACGGAGGGCCTGATTCTGCCCAAGAACAAGCCATTTGAACCAGTGTCATCAAAGACAGAATTGAAAAGTCAACGGCAGATTACAAGTGTAGATTCTGTAAGGAAGCAGATGAAACAATGGATCACATCCTCAGCTGCTGCAAGATCGCGCAGACAGACTACAAGCAGAGGCATAACACTGTTGCTCAGATGATCCATTGGAACGTGCGCCACAAATACCATCTGCTATGACAAAAAACTGGTGGAGCAGAAACCAGAAAAAGTTACGGAAAATGAACACACCTGTGGGACTTCCGGATTCAGACAGACAGAGTTCTGGAGCACAATACTCCTGACCTCACGATCGTGTTAAAAAACAAAGTATGGATCGTCAATGTTGCAATCCCTGGTGACAGCAGGATTGAAGAGAAACAACTGGAAAAGCTGACATGATATGAGGATTTAAAGATCGAACTGCAAAGACTCTGGCACAAGCCAGTAAAGGTGGTCCCAGTGGCGATCAGCGCACTCGATGCAGCGCATAAAGGCCTTGGCCTGCACTTAAAAACAATCAGCACTGACAAAATTACCACCTGTCAACTGCAGAAGGCCACCTTATTGGGATCTGCACGCATTATTCACTGATTCATCACACAGTCCTAGACACTTGGGAAATGTCCGACGTGTGATCAAACACAAAAGCCAGAACAGTGATCTTGTTGTGTACTAATCTTGTTGTGTATCAAATAATACTAATAATTTGGGATTTTATTGGCAAGATATATTTGGAGCACTTCCTCTGAGAGTAGGACTTATCCAAGGTCATTCATTGATAAGTGATTTGAACCCTGGTCTCCTCTTAATCCAATACTCAGATTACTGATTTATACACACAGCATATACTTGCACATATTCATTGGGGACATTAACCTATTTTCTTGCCAACTCTGCCAGTTCCTTGATACGAATAATTACTTCTGCATTTTCGGAGCAAGTTTACTACAGTTTGCCTGTCTGAACATATTCTCCCCTATGAACCATCAAGGCTGTTGAGATCTTCTGGAGGGGCCCTGTTCTCGGTCCCACCACTTTCGCAATTGCGTCTGGGGGGAATGAAAGACAGGGCCTTTTCCGTGTTGGCCCCTCGGCTATGGAACTCTCTCCCGAATGAGATTAGATTTGCCCCCTCCCTCCTGACCTTCAGGAAGTTAGTGAAATCCTGGCTCTGGGACGAAGCATTCCCAGAATAATGGCTGAGACCAGCAATAGACTAAAGTTATTGACATATGCGGACTAAGTTGGACATGATTTTATCTTGGCGAACTGGCTTATATGTATTTTAATCTATTGTTGTATGATGTTTTAGACTGTACTGTAGCATTGAATCCTTGCTGTTAACCGGTCTGAGTCCCTCCGTGGAGGAAGATAAGATTTTAAGTAAGTTTTAAATAAATTGAATACATAAATAAATAAAACTACAAGGCATATTTTTTACTGGGACCTCCTGAGTTTATGCAAATGCATGCAAACTTCTGAGTTTCCAACAGAGTTCTTTGTCATATAGAACAGGGAAAAAGTGAGGAAGTAATATTCACCTACAAGGAATATCAGGCCTACATGACTATGAGAGGCTGCTTTATACTCAAGTCAATGCTTTCCATTGTGCTCTGTGGTATTTGCCATTCTCACACATTTTCTCAACACTGCTCAGAGAAGAGGAAGGAGGTGGTGGGAAGTGGACAAAACCTCTACTCTTGAAAGACTTCTGTAACATAATGTTTCCCACCAGCCAATCCTTTGTACTTGGTGACTTTTGGTTTTCCACAGTCCTCACAAAAATATTGGCTCACCTCTATTTTGCAATATCTACGCAAGGTACCCAAAGATTTCCTTACCAAGGTACTGTTTCAGAGTGTCCACTTCCAGCTCTGTCTTCTTGTATTTTTCCTCATCTGCAAGGAAATGGACACAGAGTGTATAGAAAAGAGGCAAGGCACTCTTTGAATGGACAATTCACAGGTGGAATGGACGTTGAATTGAACTGAGAAGGACCTTTATCTATGGGTTGGACAATGGTAGGAGTGGCCCAATGCACCTAGTCCTAATATGCAACGGGTATTAATGTGCCTTGAGGACGTACTCAATGGGCATTGGGGCACAGACTTGGAAGCGCTAGAAAACAATGGGAAGTGCATCAGAAGTGCCCAATGCTCATCAGAAGCATGTCTGGAAATTAACAGTTACAAGTTACTCACAATGTAGATATGGGTGCCTTCAAGTTCCCTTTTGACTTATGGTAACCCCATGAATTACTAGTTCCTTCCTCTGAAAGAGAGCCTACAGGAATCAGTATTCATTGGCAGACTCCTGTCATATGTTCTGCAGTTGATGGTGCTTGGTGATGGAAGGGTTAATGTATTAGTTCTAAAGGGTTTAGTAAACTGTAAGTAAGAGTTCATGGGTGAAAGCAATTAAGGGTGGAGGTATGCAAGAGAGAGGTTGCAGCTGGGTGTTTGTGGATATAAGGAGGGAGCCTTGGAAGTTATCTTGGGGAGAAAAGTATTGTCATATTTTGGTGGTGGATGCTGCTGGTTTTTCCCCCAGGTCTGTTGGATTTTGGTATCCTGACCTGTCTCCTGTAATCTTGGAACCCTGGAACATTGAACATTTGGATTGGTATTTACTACGGTGTAGACTCTTGATCCCTGGACTTTGTTTGTTGAACTCTCGGCGTTTGACTACTGGACAGGACCCTTTGACTACGATGCAGTGTTTGTTATCAGTTTTTGTTTATTCTGTGGCTGAGTGCTATCTTTATGTTTTATATTTTGGTCTATTAAAACAGCCAGCAAGTAAGTGCTGTTTTAATTAAACTGTTTGATAAAACTGGGAGTTTGGTTCATCTCTACCTAAATAAGGCAGATCCCTGGCAACGTGACAACTCCCATCCAAGTCCTAACCAGACCCAACCCCACTCAGCTTCCAAAAACTGAAAGAACTGGCTACTCAGGGAGAAAGGGTAGAACATATCTCCTACTACGAATCATCACGAAGTTTAAGATCATTTGAAGAGGCCCTGCTCTCAATCCCACTGCTGTCGCAAACACAATTGGTGGAGGCGAGAGACAGAGCCTTCTCAACAGTGGCTCCCCATCTGTGGAATTCCTTCCCCAAAGACATCAGACTGACCACCTCCCTCCTGTCCTTTAGAAGGAAACTCAAGACTTGGCTGTGGGACCTTGTATTTGACCATTGAACAGGAGCTTGTATGAAGAAGACATAAGCAATTTTGAAGTGACAATGAATTGATCTGGACCCGGATTTTAATTGGCGTGTTTTAACAGCTGTTTATTTTATGTTTTATTTTGATAAATTTGTTGATTGTTCTTATCATTATGATGGCACCGAATGGTGTTTGCTGTGAGGCCGCCCTGAGTCCTCCCTCGGGGGTGAGAAGGTCGGGGTACAAGTATATGAAATGAATAAATAAATAGTTTTATCATGATTTATTCTTAGGGCATTTAGCTCCAGATTTAAAAAGTTACAGAATGTAGGATCTTAGCCAAGACCTATGACTGTGATGCAAGGAAAACCAAGATAAGAATCTGCAAATTTGGGGAAGGTGGTATCATCCCCATCACTGCCTCTTACCCGGCAAAATCTTCTTCTTGGCCTTCCCGGCTTTCTTTGCCTTCCCTTTCTTTGTAGGGGCCATCTTTCTGCGTTCCCTTGTAGCCTGCAAGAGTGCATGGAAAAATGTTATGATATTGTGAGCAGCTTACCCAAAACACAATAGTATTTGGGGCTCTTTGTTAGGAACGAAACTATTGCAATTTGGGGTTGCCAGAGCAAATACTTGAAATGGCTCCTGTACCTTTAAGGGTGGGATAGAAGACGGAAAGTAAGAAGTTGTTCCTTGTTATATAGGGCCCTTCCACACTGCCATATAACCCAGTTCAAAGCAGAAAATGTGGGATTTTATTAGTGACTGACTTACTCAGGTGATCCCTCATTGTCCAAGTATGATGGCCTTCCAAATGCAGTGTCTTGGCGGTGGATACGTAGGTGACTCTGGAGCCCCATTCTTGATCCACATGTTCTCCCGCAGTGAGGACATCGGTTTCCAGGTAGAAGGTGGTCCTAGTCAGGGTTGGCTTGACGAACCTTCCTCTTGGCACGTTTCTCCCTTTTGCCCTCCATTCATGCCTCTTCAAATTCCACAGCACTGCTGGTCACAGCTGACCTCCGATTAGAGTGCTCAAAGGCCAGGGCTTCCCAGTTCTTGGTGTCTATGCCACAGTTTTTAAGGCTAGCTTTAAGCCCATCTTTAAATCTCTTTTCCTGTCCACCAACATTACACCTCCCATTCTTGAGTTGGGAGTATAGTAACTGCTTTGGGAGATAGTGATCAGACATTTGGACAATTTTTTTTTGTCGTGTCAGGAGCAACTGCTCCTGTTGTGAGAGAATTGGCCATCTGCAAGGACGTTGCCCAGGGGACGCCTTGATGATTTTTGATGTTTTATCATCCTTGTGGGAGGCTTCTCTCATGTCCCCGCATGAAGAGCTGGAGCTAATAGAGGGAGCTCATCCGCCTCTCCCCGAATTTGAACCTGCAACCTGTCAGTCTTCAGTCCTGCCGGCACAGTGCTTTAACCCACTGCACCACCGGGCAGTCCAGTCCAATGTGGCCAGTCCAGCGCAATTGATGGCGTAGGAACATCACTTCAATGCTGGTTGTCTTTGCTTCATCCGGCACACTGACATTTGACTACATGTCTTCCCAAGAGATTTGTAGGATTTTTTGGAGGCAACACTGATAGAATCATTTTGGAGTTGAGTGTGACATCTGTAGACAGTCCACGTTTCACAGGCATATAATAGGGTTGTGAGGACAATCTATATAAATAAAAATGTAATGTTCGTTTGTGGGATTAACAGAACTCAAAAACTACTGGACGAATTGACACCAAATTTGGACACAAGACACCTAACAACCCAATGTATGTCCTTCACTCATAAAAACACTGAAAAACACAGCAGAAGGGACTTTAAAAGCCCCCAAAAGCTAAATGACAATACAGTAAAAAAGGAAGAAAGAGGGAGGGAAGTGGAGAAAAAAAAGAAAGAGGGGGGAAAGAAACAAGGAAAGGGAAAGAAAGAAGGAAGAGGGAGAAAGGAAGGAAAAAGAGAAAGGAGGAAGGAAGGAGGAAGAAAAGGAAGAAAGGAGAAAAAGAGGGAGGGAAAGAAAAAGGGGGAGGAAGGAAAGTTAGAGAAAGAAGGAAGGAGAGAAGGAAAGAAAAAAGGGAAAGAAGGAAAGAAGGAGCGAAGGAAGGTAGAGAAAGAGGGAGGGAAGGAAAGGAGGAAAGAGAGAAGGAAGAAAAGAGAGACAGCAGAAGAGAAAGAAAAAGGGGAAAGGAAGAGAAGAGATAGAGAAGGAAGGAAGAAGAGAAGGAAAGAGAAGGAAGGAAGGAAGGAAAGAGGGAGTGAATGAAGAGAGAAAGAAGGAGAGAAAGAGGGAAGGTTGGCCACAGCAACATGTGGCGGGTACAGCTAGTAGCTTTATAAACAAGCACCTTGGTATCCCTAAAGATGTCCCGGTCCTCAAAATCTCTTCACTTCATTCAGAAAAATGCTGCACTTGCAGAGCTCAGGTAGTCAAGTTTGACTTTTGTGGAGAGGTGGTTGCCAAGGGAGTGGAAACATTTTGTAATGTTACCCCATTAAGCTGTATTTCTGGCATTGCAAAAGGATTGGCTGGTGACTGCTGGAAGAGCACTTTGGTTTTCTTGGTGTTCAATGACAGGCCGAGCTTCTCATATGCTTCTGCAAAGGTGTGGCTTGTAGGTCATCTTCTGAATGTGCACAGACCACATTATCATCAGCATATTGGAGTTCTATAATAGATTTTATACAGCTGTTGGAAGGGGCCATAGTTGTAGGAAAAATAGTTTCTACTGAAATTTTCTGCACAACTCTTAAAGGTACAGGAGCCCTCGCCAGTTTTCCGTATGTCAACTCTGCTGCTTCTGTTGTTGTTGTTGTTATATCCTGCTTTCATTTCTCTAGAAGACTCAAGGTAGCTCACAGCAGTAAAAACAGCACAAACTACCATTTAAAACCCACGACACAGAAACATTTACAAGAATTGTAAAACTGTTAAAATTGTCTAAAACTATTAAAACCTGCAAGAATAATTAAAGCACAACAGAGACCCTCCAGGCTTGTTCTTAACATCTTCCTTCCTTAAAAGCCTGCCCAAACAGGAAGTTTTCAGTCTACAACTCCCACGTCCTCTACTCCCATTAGTCAAATGGGGACTCATTCAACAGGTCTTTTTGGCAAGCTCTTCAGAGAGCAGAGAGATTTTTGTTTTTCGCTGTTATGCAGAAGAGGCTGTGGGAAAAGGTACCTGAAAGCAAAGCCTTTGCAGGTTGCTGCACGTTACCTGGCAGAAAGCAAAGGGCTCCCCTGCAGGTGTGTCCTTCCAAGCAGCCAATGCGCAAAGGAGAGACGCCTGGATTTTGGGAAGCTTGTCCTAGCCGGAGCAAACTGGGGTTGCCAGGCAAGAGTCCCACGTTGGCTACCAGGGCAACCAAACCAAGCAAAGCAGAAAGCCGGGCCTGGGAAAGGAAGCTGGATCCAGACATAATGAGAGGAAAGAGACCCTTAGACTAATAATAATAATAATAATAATAATAATAATAATAATAATAATAATTATTATTATTATTATTATACCAAATGCAGACTGTGCAAGGAAGCTGATGAAACCATGGACCATATCCTCAGCTGTTGCAAGAAAATCGCACAGACAGACTACAAACAAAGACACAACTCTGTGGCCCAAATGATTCACTGGAACTTATGTCACAAGGACCACCTGCTAGCAGTAAAGAATTGGTGGGATCATAAACCTGCAAAGTTCGTGGAAAATGAACATGCAAAACTACTGTGGGAATTTCGAAATCCAGACTGACAAAGTTTTGGAACACAATACACCAGACATCACAATTGTGGAAAAGAAAAAAGTCTGGATTATTGATGTCGCCATTCCAGGTGACAGTTGCATTGAGGAAAAACAACATGAAAAACTTAGCTGCTATCAAGACCTCAAAATCGAACGGCAAAGGCTTTGGCATCAACCAGCACAGGTGGTCCCAGTAGTCATTGGCACACTGGGTGCCGTGCCAAAAGATCTCAGCTGGCATTTGGAAACAATAAACATTGACAAAATCACGATCTGTCATCTGCAAATGGCACCTGACTTGGATCTGCGCGCATCATTCGAAAATAGATCACACAGTCCTAGACGCTTGGGAAGTGTTTAAAATAACCAGTAACTTGTTCATTGTTTCACTTGTTAAATATTTTTTGTTACATTGCCTTGTAATTGTAAATCTAGCTATGGGTTAACAATGTTTCCTGCATTTAATTGCTTCCAAGCTCAGCACAGAGAACAAGATTTTGGTGTTTATTCCTGACGTTTCCTTTTGTCAGCCCTTTCCATTGCTGAGATAAGCTTTCTGGGCCAAACATTGTTTAGCACTTTTTTGGGGAAGGATTTGACGTTGTCTGCTTCCAGATTCTCAGAAGGCAGCGAGCTATATTTAATTCCAAAGCAAACAAAACCTGAGAAACAAATCAACGCATCTTCTGTAAATAATAGAACAGACCACATTAAGCATTCAGTCCAACCCCCTTTCTGCTAATCAGCTAAAGCACAATCAAACCCCTCCCAACAGATGACCATCCAGCCTCTGTTTATAAGCCTTCCAAGAAGGAGCCTCCATTGCACTCCGAGGCAGTGAGTTCTGTTAGGATTTGAAAAAACATGCCATGATGTGGTGGGTTAACTGGAGGGAGATGTGTCAGCAACTGATTGGCTGAGTGTATCAGTGGCCAGGGTTCTGATTGGCTGCTGCCTCTGGCTAGCTACTGAGGCCAACGGTTCTAACTGTCGTTCTGTTTTTTGTTCTCTCTTTGGACAGTGAAGAGAAAGTGCTGATGCAATCATGGAGGAATTTAAAAGGGTCTGGCTCTGTGAGAGAGACCCTGCGGATTCACCAAATTGAGCAAAGAGAAGCCCAATTTAAAAGGTTTTTCCTAAGTTTCCAAAAGAAATCTCACCAAAGTTGAAGGAAGCGCCACCGAGATGATTTTATTATGATTCAGCTGAAAAGGATGCAGAGCAGCAATATTTCGCCAAGCTAAGCATACAGTGTAAAAAAATAAAGGCCTTTTTATACATAAAACAGAGCTGCCAGGTTTGAATCTCCCATTCCCCGCCCCTTGCTGGCCTGATGAAGATTGGCTGGCGCTCTACAACTGGGAGGAGGCTTGACCGCCTCCTGAGTTCCTGGGCCAATCGTTGGGCTTTTGCCGCCTCGGCGTCCTGACGAATCAGGAGAGAGGGAGGTAGGACAAGGGGAAACAATGCATTCTTGAGTGGATTATGGCGATTTTGAGATGTCCAAGTGACCAGCGAGGGCCTGCAAGCTAAACTTTGCTATTGTCCTTGAATGGCTGCAATAAACATTGATCCGGATTTTTCCAGTGCTGAGACACCGAAACAATGAGGGAATCTTGGCTGTGGTTTCAGTGGATAAAAGTTGAATCAGTAACAGATTAGTTCAAAGTGTGGCTTTCCGAAGGCTTCCTTTGTCCTGTTAAGGTATGATTATAAATGCCAAGTGACCGCTTCCTCTGGGGGGCCAACTCCGAGGCCAGAGGTCATGGTCCTTTGTTATTGTCCATGCAAAAAGTGTCTTTTGATAAGGGTCTTTTCAACTGAAATTTCCTCCTTTCCAGGGTCACACAGGGGTGGCTGCCTTGTATTTTTATACATTTTTCAAGAAAGGGGAATTGGGCAAAAGGGTCAGATACACAGGGAGGAATATAGAAATATAGAAATCATGTTATAGAAAACATACCCACTTATCCCTCCCACCAGAGTCCCATAGAAGTTCAAGAGAGCACATAAGTGTAAAGGGAGGTGGTTTCTCAGTAATAAATGTGCTACCTTCTGCTATATATGAAACCTAGGGCATAAAACTTTGATTAAATGTACACACTATCTAACATGGGAAGGGTCCTTGTTGTTGTTAGTGTCTTGACAAATTGACCAAGGCTTAACCCTTATTATCCAGTCTGGTGTCCTTGTCCTTAGCAAAACTATAAGTTACTATCTTTTATGGGGGGGGGGTCATGTTTGACTTCACTGACTGTCAACTATCTCAAAGAATGATCATTTTATGGCATAAGGCATATTTCAAAGACTATTTTAAAAAAACAGTTTTATTCCTCTATTTCCTGCCTGAATTCAAAGAGACTGACGTATATATTGTTACCATGTTTGAGTTAAAGATAGTGTTATTTTGTTTCACAAGCCTGAGTGACATTTTATTATACAGCAGGATATATCTTGGTTTAAACACTGTGGTAAAGCTCTACTTATTCTGCTTATACACATTTACCAACCCTCACAAGTTCCGCTGTTGAAAAGTTCTTCTTACATTCAGGAAGTTTTTCCTAATGTTTAGGTAGAATTTAAAGTTAAATCCTGTCTCCTAAGCTTTTTAAAGTCTGTAAAAATATGGACAGCAACAAACCCCTTTTCCCTTGGACTTCCAGAAAGCTTACGACAAACTTCCTCACCAGGGACTGTTGAACCATCATTTGCAAAAAGAAGAGTTCCTTTTATGGGTTGGAAACAGATTAAGGAACTATCATCAATTTCTGCAGCTTTATACAGTACTTGCTAACTAATGTCTTGTGTTGCAGAGTCTGTTAACATTATATTTGGGCTGTAGTTCTCTGGATCTCTTGGTTAGTATATGTGGGAGATTTTGAGAACTCTAGTCCAAAAGGGAACCTTTTCCAAATTCTGTATGAAGAGAGTTTTTTCAAGTATTTTTTTAAAAAAGGCTTTAAATTATATATTATGTTGTGTTTATTGTTAGTCGCTTTGGGTCTCTTTTGAGTATTGCTTTTATCATTAGCTGCTTTGGGTCTATTTTTCTAAGATCTGGCCAAAGTTTGGAATAATAATAATAGTAATAATAATAATAATATCACACATCTATATAAATAAAAATGTAATGTTCGTTTGTGGATTAACATAACTCAAAAACCACTGGACGAATTGCTGCCAAATTTGGCCACAAGACACCTACTAACCCAAGGAGTGACCATCACTCAAAAAATGATTTTGTCATTTGGGAGTTGTAGTTGCTGGGATTTATAGTTCACCTACAATCAAAGAGCATTCTGAATTCCACCAGTGATGGAATTGAACCAAACTTGGCACACAGAACCCCCATGGTTAACAGAAAACACTAGAAGGGTTTGGTGGGCATTGACTTTGAGTTTGGGAATTGTAGTTCACCTACATCCAGAGAGCACTGTGGACTCAAATAATGAAGGATCTAGACCAAACGTGGCACAAATACTCCATATGCCCAAATATGAACACACATAGAGTTTGGGTGAAATAGACCTTGACATTTTGGGAGTTGTAGTTGCTGGGATTTATAGTTCACCTACAACCAAAGAGCATTCTGAAACCCACAAATGACAGAATTGGGGCAAACTTCCTACACAGTTCCCCCACACAGTTTCTGCTTCCTCGGAGAATGGGACACGGAACAATGGCTTCACACTACAAGAAAGGAGATTCCACCTGAACATTAGGAAAGAATTTCCTGACTGTGAGAGCTGTTCAGCAGTGGAACTCTCTGCCCTGGAGTGTGGTGGAGGCTCCTTCTTTGGAGGCTTTTAAGCAGAGGCTGGATGGCCATCTGTCAGGGCTGCTTTGAATGCCTATGAGGTCTCTTCCAACTCTAGGATTTTATGATTCTATGAAATGCAGAGTAACTGACATAGGAAAATATAACGACTAGACAATGGGACCGGACAATGTTTTTAACAAGGAGACACTATGGATTTATTTGTTATGGTCCTGTAAGCTGCCTTGAGTTGCCCGTGGGCTGAGAAAGACAGTATACAAATACAGTAAGTAAATAAATAAATAAATAAATAAATAAATGTTTCATCCAGTGCTTTTAACTCCAGCCTTGCATTGGTCAAGCCCCAAATGTTGCATGATGTTTTTGACATATGTTGAATAGGTAGGGTGAGAGGATACAACCGTGTCATTTTGAACCAGTCTGTTACTGTTCTTACTGTTGCTACTTGGTTGTTATACAGATTCCTCAGGAGACAGAGAACGTGGCTTGGTTGTTGTGGTTCATTTGTTCAGTTGCTTCCGACACTTGGTGACCTCCTGGACCAGTCCAGTTCAGAGCTCCATGTTGGCCATCACCACCCCCGGCTCCTTCAAGGTCAAGCCAGTCATTTCAAGGATGCCATTCATCCATCTTGCCCTTGGTTGGCCCCTCTTCCTTTTTCCTTCCATTTTCCCCAGCATAATTTCTTCTCTAAGCTTTCCTGTCTTCTTATTATGTGGCCAAAGGACTTCATCTTTGCCTCTAATCTCTTTCCCTCCAATGAGCAGCTGGGCATTATTTCCTGGAGGATGGACTGGTTGGATCTTCTGGCGGTCCAAGGCACTCTCAGAATTTTCCTCCAACACCACAGTTCAAAAAGTGTCTCTCTTCCTTCACTCAGCCTTCCCTATGGTCCAGCTCTCACATCCATAGGTTACTACAGGGAATACCATTGCTTTAACTATGCTGATCTTCGTTGCCACTGTGATGCCTCTACTCTTCACTATTTTATCGAGATGGGTCCTTGATCTCCTCCCAAGAAGGAAACGCCTTCTGATTTCCTGGCTGCAGTTTGTGTTTGCAGTAATCTTTGCACCTAGAAATACAAAGTCTGTCACGGTCTCGCGTTTTCTCCCTCTATTTGGCGAGACTGTTTTTATTATTTATTGTTTTAATGATTGCTTATGTACTGTCTAATTATGATTTATGTTTAATTGTGGTTTTATTATTGTAGTTGTTATTGATTGGCATCACATCAGTGTCCAATGTATGGCATTGAAGTTTTGCTAGTTATGTATAAACCACTTTGAATCTCCCTAGGGGTGAGAAAAACGGTATAGAAATACTGTAAATAACAAATAAATAAATAAATTTATTTATTTGTCATGTCAGGGCAACCAGTCAATTGTATTACATTTCTAACAGAACAAAACAAACAGACAGACAGACAAAACACAACATTTGCAAGTTTGGTAGTTGATTAAATGTCCTTTGACCAGTATCTGGCCCCTTGGAGTGCTTCTGGTATTGTTGCAAGGTCCTCCCTTGTGCATGTAGCAGGGCTCAGGTTGCATTGCAGCAGGTGGTCAGTGGTTTGCTCCACACTTGCATGTCGTGTATTCCACTTTGTGGCCCCATTTCTTGAGGTTGACTCTGCATCTTGTGGTGCCGGAGCACAGTCTGTTCAGCGCCTTCCAAGTTGCCCAATTTTCTGTGTGCCCAGGGGGGAGTCTCTCATTTGGTATCAAGTTCTGGGTTTGAGCCTGCCACTTTTAGACTCTCGCTTGCTGAGGTGTTCCAGCGAGTGTCTCTGTAGATCTTAGAAAACTATTTCTTGATTTAAGTCGTTGACGTGCTGGCTGATACCCAAACAGCTGGAGATGTCTCTGCCTTGGTCCTTTCACTATTGGCTGCTACTTCCCAGTGGATGTCTGGTGGTGCAATACCGGCTAAACAGTGTAATTTCTCCAGTGGTGTAGGGCGCAGACATGCCGTGATAATGCAGCATGTCTCATGAAGAGCCACATCCACTGTTTTAGCGTGGTGAGATGTGTTCCACACTGGGCATGCGTACTCAGCAGCAGAGTAGCATAGCGCAAAGGCAGATGTCTTCACTGTGTCTGATTGTGATCCCCAGGTTGTGCCAGTCAGCTTTCGTATGATATTGTTTCTAGCACCCACGTTTTGCTTGATATTCAGGCAGTGCTTCTTGTAGGTCAGAGCACGGTCCAGAGTGACTCCCAGGTATTTGGGTGTGCTGCAATGCTCCAGTGGGATTCCTTCCCAGGTCATCCTCAGAGCTCGGGATGCTTGTCTGTTCTTAAGGTGAAAGGCACATGTCTGTGTTTTAGATGGATTAGGTTTTCCCTGTAATAGGCAGTAAAAGCATGAAATTCATGAGGAAAGGTCCAAAGGATTTCACTGAGCCAGTCAAGGGAGTCCTGCAGACTTGTCCTTGGCCCTTGGAAAACTGTAAGTTGTTGTTGTTGTTGTTCATTCGTTCAGTCGTCTCCGACTCTTCGTGACCTCATGGACCAGCCCACGCCAGAGCTCCCTGTCGGCCGTTACCACCCCCAGCTCCCTCAAGGTCAGTCCAGTCACTTCAAGGATGCCATCCATCCATCTTGCCCTTGGTCGGCCCCTCTTCCTTTTGCCTTCCACTTTCCCCAGCATAATTGTCTTCTCTAGGCTTTCCTGTCTTCTCATGATGTGGCCAAAGTACTTCAACTTTGTCTCTAGTATCTTTCCCTCCAGTGAGCAGTCGGGCTTTATTTCCTGGAGGATGGACTGGTTGGATCTTCTGCAGTCCAAGGCACTCTCAGAACTTTCCTCCAACACCACAGCTCAAAAGCATCGATCTTCCTTCGCTCAGCCTTCCCTAAGGTCCAGCTCTCACATCCGTAGGTGACTACAGGGAATACCATGGTTTTGACTAGGCGGATCTTTGTTGCCAGTCTGATGTCTCTACTCTTTACTATTTTATCGAGACTGGACATTGCTCTCCTCCCAAGAAGTAAGCGTCTTCTGATTTCCTGGCTACAGTCGGCATCTGCAGTAATCTTTGCACCTAGAAATACAAAGTCTGTCACCACGGTTTCTCCCTCTATTTTCCAGTTGTCAATCATTCTTGTTGCCATAATCTTGGTTTTTTTGACGTTTAGCTGCAACCCGGCTTTTGCGCTTTCTTCTTTCACCTTGATTAGAAGGCTCCTCAGCTCCTCCTCGCTTTCGGCCATCAGAGTTGTGTCATCTGCATATCTGAGGTTGTTAATGTTTCTTCCAGCAATTTTCACCCCAGCTTTCGGCTTCACTGCGACATGTTCATTACTTTCATACAACTACTGGTTTCCTAATAGAGGTGTGCTAATTACCTTTTGTATATAAAGCAATATTGCTTTTGTTTTCTATGCCAGTGGTAGTTGCAGATTCAGAATAGCAACTGAGCTTAGTGATACCTTTGCTTCCTGAAATTACCTATAAAATTATGTGTGTATATGAAAACCAAATGGATTTAACATATATGTCACCTGAAAAGCAATCATAACCCTTCCTGTCCCGAGCATTTGGGGTAACCAATATCCAACCAAGCTGCAAGATGCATTGTAGATCTCTGCAATTTTGCCCCTCACCATCATGGCCGCCGTAGTAGCATTTTGCCCCTCACCATTATGGCCGCCGTGGGTGCGGCTTCGCTGTAATACGCATGCTCCGCTTTGTTTCCTCCCAGAGCGCATGCGCAGCCACTCCACTAAGGAATAGAAAAGACTCCGTTTGCCATTTGCCCCTCACCATTATGGCCGCCGTGGGTGCGGCTTCGCTGTAATACGCATGCTCCAATTTGTTGCCTTTCAGTACGCATGCGCAGCCACTCTACTAAGGGATAGAACAGACTCCGTTTGGCCTACCGGTGCTGTTTAAACCCCAAGCCTTTAACAATCTCGCCCCGCCCCTTTTTGAAATACAGTCCAATCACAGCGCCGGTGTTGTAGAAACTGACCAATCGGGAGCAGGGAATGGGGGAAAGGGGCGGAGGGGGCGGAGACAATTGAAAGCCAGCAACCAATCAGAGCGCGTTTTCACTCAGAAGCGCGTGGCCGTCTTCGTTATTTTTTTAACCCCTTCCTACCAGCTTTTGGGTTCCGACCAATCAGGACGCGTTTTTCCTCAGGAGCGCGTGGCCTCCTTTTTTTTTTCCTTTCTGACCCCGCCCACTTCCTCGCGGCGGAGCCAATCAGGGCGCGTTGTGGCGGGAGGCTCGCGCGCGAGGGGAGGGGGAGCAGTGGAGTTGGCGCATGCGCTTTGCCTCTTCCCTCCCTCCCTTCCTTCCTGCCCGCCTCTTTCTCTCTTTACCTCCTTCTTCGTCAGTCAGTCAGTCAGTGAGTGAGTCGGGCGCGTCCCCTCCTTTCCTTCCTTCCCTCACGAAGGAGCCGCCTTCCTCGCCTCAGCCCTGACAGCGGCCTTCCCCGCTTCCTTCCCTCCCTCCCTCCCTTCCTTCCCTTCCTTCCCTTGATGGCGGCCCCGGTGAAGAAGGGCCCCGGCGGGCTGATCGGCCTCATGAAGGACGCCTTCCAGCCCCACCACCACCACCACCTCGGCCCTCACCAGCCCAGCACCGTCGACAAGAAGATGGTCGAGAAGTGCTGGAAGCTCATGGACAAAGTGAGGGGAAAGGAAGAGGAAAAGGAAGGGAGGCAGGGAGGGAGGGAAGGAAGGAGGCGGGCGTGGCCGGGGATCACTGGGGGGGGGGGGGGAGGGGGGCTGAGGGGATCATCATCATCATTATCAGATATTTTCTTGACTGAGTGGGTCAGAATCATAGTAACTAATAATAATAATAATATTTATTTATTTATTTATTTGCTTTATTCCTATACCGCATTTTTCAGCCCAAACAGGCGACTCAATGCGGTTTACAAGGTACAAGTTATCACAACAATGTCAGTGCAGTTAAAAACGCAACGAACGCAACAATAAAATCAACAACATCAATCAACAACAATTAACAAAAACAACCATAACGCCTCAGTGAAATCAGATCCGTTCTCATAAATCCTTGTGCCATTCCTATGTTCCATTTACCGTCTTCCTATAATACCTATAATAATACCTAATAATACGTTCTATTTACTTATTACTTATTATTACTTATTACTACTTATTATTACTTATTATTACTTATTACTGTGAAGAGTTCATCATCCCATTACTATGAAGGTCTCTTAATAATAATACATAATAATAATGCACTTTGTTATCACTATGGGGAAGTCATAATAATAATAATAATACAATTTATTTACTTATTACTGTGAAGGGTTACTAATCTTATTACAGTGAGGGGCTCTTAATAATAATAATAATAATACACCATAATAATACATTTTATTTATTTATTACTGTGAGGGGGGTTATCTTATTACAATGAGGGGCTCTTAATAATAATACATAATAATAATACAATTTATTTACTTATTACTGTGAGGGGCTCTTAATAATAATACATAATAATACGTTTTATTTACTTATTACTATGAAGAGTTCATGACTAAGAAGGTCTCTTAATAATAATAATACATCATAATAATAATACATTTTATTTACTTATTACTGTGAGGGGCTCTTAATAATAATACATAATAATACATTTTATTTACTTATTACTATGAAGAGTTCATCATCTTATGACTAAGAAAGTCTCTTAATAATAATACATAATAATAATAATACATTTTGTTATTACTATGGGGAAGTAATAATAATAATACATTTTATTTATTTCTGTGAGGAGCTCTTAATAATAATACATAATAATAATAACACATTTTGTTATCAGTATGGGGAAGTCATAATAATAATAATAATACATTTTATTTATGTATTACTATGAGGGGCTCTTAATAATAATACATAATCATAATACAATTTATTTACTTATTACTGTGAAGAGTTCATCATCACATTACTATGAAGGTCTCTTAATAATAATACATAATAATAATAATAATAATACATTTTGTTGTCACTATGGGGAAGTAATAATAATAATACATTTTATTTACTTATTATTACTGTGAGGGGCTCTTAATAATACATAATAATAATAATACAATTTATTTGCTTATTACTGTGAGGGGGGTCATCATCTTATTACTATGAGGGCCTCTTAATAATAATACATAGTAATAATAATAATACAATTTATTTAGTTATTACTGTGAAGGGCTAATAATAATATCTAATAATACGTTTTATTTAGTTATTACTGTGAAGGGATCATCACCTTATTACTATGACGGACTCATAATAATGCTTAATAATACATTTTATTTACTTAGTACTGTGAAGAGTTCATCATCTTATGACTATGAAGGTCTCTTAATAATAATACATTTTGTTATCACTATGGGGAAGTATAATAATAATAAAACATTTTATTTACTTATTACTGTGAAGGGTTAATAATCTTATTACTATGAAGGTCTCTTAATAATAACACCTAATAATAATGCATTTTATTTATTTATTACTGTGAGGGTTCATCATCTTATTACTATGAGTTATAATAATATTTATTACTATGGGGAGGTCATAATAATAATACATTTTATTTATTACTGTGAGGGTGTCATAATAATACATTTTATTTACTTATTACTATGAGGGGTCATAATAGTCTTATTACAATGAGTGTGTTATAATAATACATTTTATTTACTTATTACTGCGTGGGGGTCATCATCTTATTACTATGGAAGGCTCTAATAATATGTTTGATTTACTTATTACTGTGAAGGGTCCATCATCTTATTACTATGAAGGGCTCATAATAATAATAATATAATATCTAATAATATATTATATTATACATAGATAAATGCAAACATGTTTTCACTTTGATATATATAGATAGGATGGGGCTTTGTTTTGGGGGTGTGAGATGATCTTGGGACTAGGCTGGGTTCTATCATGGTATGGTCTCATGGATCATCATGGGGTCTTGGTTTTATTTAGGGGATTAGATTGTCTTGGGCTTAAGATGGATGATGTCCTTATGGAGTGAAGCTTCCTTTTAGGGGCTGAGTTTGGGAGATGATCTTGTGGTGAAGCCAAGTATCATTATGAGATGATGAGTTTCATTTTGGAGTTGTTGCTGGGGAGATAGTTCAGGGTCATTAAGGGCCTGGACTGAGGGTTTCCTTTTGGAGTGAAGCCTGGTGTTGTCATGGGATACAATTCTGATTATTCCTTCTACCTGGCTTTCTCCCTGTAGGGACTCTAAGGTAGCAATCAATCACACAATCCAATAACAATTTAAAAAAAGACATAACAAATGTTAGTGCTTGGATATAGTGGTAAAATACAGTTAAAATAGAATAAATACATCCAATTTTACATTTGAATCACTCCATCCCCTTCCCCGAAATGCTTGCTGGCCCACAAATGTCTTTACCTGACAGGCTTGTAGATATGGTTCTTCAATTAACCTGGTCCTAAGCTGTATAGATCATCCTGGAGTGGGTGCTTCATTTTGTGTGAGAGGTTGGGAGAGTATCTTGAAGTGAGGCTGGTTGTTGTCATAAGAGGAGGCAACAATAGGATGGAGGTTTATTCTGTAGTTGAGAATTCCTCTTCTGGATGAAGCTGGGTGTGATTGTTGGATGGGCTATCGTTGTAAGGTGAGGGCATCTTGGAAGTGGGTTCGTCTTGTGGGGATTAAGGATCCTATGGGATCCTCATAGGATAGTCATTCTGGAGTGAGTGCTTCATTTTGAGTTTGGGAGATTGTCTTGGGGTAAAGCTGGGTGTTATTATGGGATCAGGGTTCATCATGGGGTGGGGGGAATCCTGAAAGAGGGGTCATTTGGGGGGCAAGGCTGTAAGACTATCTTGGGGTGAAGCTGGGCATTATAGGTTGAAGGGATCATTTTGGGGGTTAGTCTGGGTGTTTCTTTTGGGATGGCATTATGGGATGAGGGGATCATTATGAAGTGGGAGCATTCTGGAGTAGAGGGTAGAGTTGGGAGATTATTTTAGYGTGAAGTTTGGTGTCATAYGTTGAGGGATTCATCATAGGMCAGGTGCTTCACTTTGGGTTGAYGCTGGGGGTTATCTTCAAGTGAGGCTGGGTGTCATGGGGTGAYGGGATCCTRTCAGGGTGGGAACATTCTGGGGTGAGTTCTTCATTTTGGGGGTGAGGTTGGGAGATTTATCTTGGGKGGAGTCTAAGGGTCWTTGTGGGGTAAGAGGATCATTAGGGAAGGGGTTCATTGTTGAYGTGAGGTTGGGGMTCATTAWGTGTCATTGCCTCTTTTGAGGGTGAAGATGGGAGATTATCTTGGGGTTCAAATGAATATTATGAGTWGAGMGGATCATRATGGTGGATGGMTGATTCGTGGGAGGAGGTTGGAAYATTATCTTGGGGTGAGGCTGGACATTCTTATGGAGTTAGGAGTTCATTATGAGGTGGGTGCTTCACTTTGAGGGACAGGTTGGGAGCTTATAATATAATATTAATAACTTTATTTTTGTACCCCTCCTCCATCTCCCCGAAGGGACTTGGGGCGGCTTGTCCCTGATCAACATATTTAAAAGTCAACACATTAAAATACACAACAACTGCATAAAACAAAATAAAACATTGTAACAAAATATAAAAGCAAGCATCGAACCATCCAATGAAAAATAATAATCAGTTTCTGGTCACGGGAGGGCGGACTGTTTGGATAGGGCTGGTGGATAAAGTGCATAGGCCATAGCTTCTCTTGGGGTGAAGGTGGGTGTCATAGTTTGAGAGGGTCATCATGGGATAGGGGCTTCCATTTAGAGGTGAGTTTGGGAGATTATTTTGGGTTGAGTCTGATTGTTGTCTTAGGGTGAAACAGTCATCATGAGGTGAAAAGGAGATCCAGGAGTTGGGGATTCATTGTGTGGATAGGTCTGGATGTTATTGCCAGATTGAGGGAGGGGTCATTGTAAAGTGAGGGCATCCTGGAAGGGATTCATTTCAGGGGTGAGATTGGGAAATTACTTTGTACTGAGGGTTGTTTTCATTATGGGAGGAGAGGATCATTATGGGGTGGTGGCATTCTGGAGTGAGCACATTATTTGTAGCACAAAGTTGGGAGATTATTTTGAAGTGAAATTGGTTGTTGTCCTAAGCGGAGGCGATTATCTTATATATGCTGGAGTTGGAAGTTCATTTTGTGAATAAGGCTGGGTGAGGGATCATTATAAAGTAGGGGGACATCTTGGAAAGGAGTCTATTGTAGTGGACATCCTTTTGAGTGTGAGGTTGAAGGTTCATCCATTAGGAATGAGATGGGTGGTTATGGTTGAGTGAGGCAGGGTTCTCCAGGGAGTAAAGAGGGGCTTGTCAAGAAAGGAAGGATATGATTACCCAGTGACAGGCCTTCCCATCATTTCCACTTATTATTTGGTGGTGGGATTACTCATCATACAATCCTATGTTCATCAGAGCAACCCCCCGCCCAATGGAAAAACTGAGGCTTGGATTCGGGAAGTTGTGCTTAGATTTTTGTAGCTTTGGCCGGTGTCTGAAAGAGTCCAAAACTGGAAGCAGTTGATGTCCACAAATGTGCTTACCTTCCTTGTTCCTTTTCTTGTAAAATGTTGGGAAATCTGAGGGCAATGAGAAATGA